AGCAGAAAGATATATAAGGCGTGAGGACCAGAAACTAGAAGCATTTTGGCTGGTTAAGCATTCAGGCTTTTGAGCAGTAATTCAGCTGAGACCCACTCCGGATGAGGACTCAGAGGCCTCCAGTCTGAGGAGACAAGACCAGCTGAGGATCCGGCGAGGTGAGATAGCTGTGGCTTGTTCTGTCTCTCTGACCTTCCATTACTCACCCCAATAAACGGCCTCGGGTTTGATTTTATTAATAAGAACTTTTAAGATTCCTGCTACATCCCCTTAACAAGATTGTATCCAAGCTGTTGGGCTCTTAGCTCAAGGATATAAAAGCTCATCGGAGAGGCCTTGTTAGTGCATATGATGCAGCCTCAGGAGCATGTTTCTCCCTTCCCCACAATGCTGTATTCCAAGTGAGGCAGAGGTCCTAACAGAGGCCTAGATTCAAGTTTTGATGGAATGAATGTCCAACATTTCTAGACATTAAGAAGAAAAAGATCACAAGGTGATTACACAATGAAGTAGACGCAATGAAAACTGCAAACCTTTTTAAAAAGAAAAAATGTTATTGTGAATGGGTTGTATCTTGAAGAAATGGATGAGATCTACATGAAAAAACTGGGGCGGGGAGTGAAGGGGGTAATGGAGGGCAAGGGATGGTGGATGAGAGCTTTTAGGAGCAGGAGGTTCCAGCTGGAATGGGAACAGAGTGGGAGAGCAAGGAACAAATTACCATGATAAATGAAGACACCACGGGAATAGGGAATAGGGAGAAGCAGAGTGCTGGGGAGGTTCCCAGGAATCCACAAGGATGACTCCACCATAGACTAGAAGCAATAGTTGAGAGGGTGCTTGAGCTGGCCTACTCTGGTAATCAGATGGCTGAATACCCTAACTGTCATGATAGAATCTTCATCCAGTGACTGATAGAAGCAGATTCAGAGATCCATGGTCATGTCCTAGGCAGAGCTCCAGGAGACCAATCAATGAGAGAGAGAGAGGAGGGATTCCATGAGGAAGGGATATCGAGACCATGATTGGTAAAAGTACAGAGAGAACTAGCCAAACTAATAGAAACACATGAACTGTGAACCAATAGCTGAGGAGCCCCCAATGTACTAGACTAGGCCCTCTGGATAAGCGAGACAGTTGTTGAGCTTGAACTTTATAGCGGGCCCCCAGACAATGGGATCAGGACCTGTCCCTAGTGCATGCATGAGCTTTTTGGAGCCTCATGCCTATGTTGAGACACTGTGCACAGCCTTGGTGCATGGAGAAGGGGCTTGGACTTGCCTCAACTGAATGTACCAGGCTCTGCTGACTCCCCATGGGAGACCTTGCCTTGGAGAAGGTGGGAATGGGGGGAGGTGGTTGGGTTGGGGGAAAGGCTGGGGGGCAGGAGGCAGGGGAATCTGTGGTTGGTATGTAAAATGAATAGAAAATCTCTTAACAAAAAAAGTACACACTAAGGTATAGAAGAGGGGGGCTTTCAAATGCCAACGTTTCTAAAAATAATGCTTTAAATCTAAAGCATGCATGGTTTCATTCATCACCAAAGAACAAATCATCTAACTTCAACCATTTTAGCGATGCATATAACACCATACAACAGATACTTTAGAAGATGGTGCAGAATCTGAATAGGGCATCAGGGCCATCTGTTCAATTGCTCAAGTACTATCTTAGCAAGTGCTCCTGTGAAGGGTGTTATTTCTGGTGAGCTAGGCAAAGTGACATCCACTGTAACCCCCAAATCCAGCACCCAGGAGCTGAGGAAGGAGATTGGGCCACCTTCTCTCTCTGTCTCTGTCTCTGTCTCTGTCTCTGTCTCTGTCTCTCTCTCTCTCTCTCTCTCTCTCTCTCTCTCTCTCTCTCTCTCTTATCTGTCTCTCTCTCTCACATACACACACACACGTGACAAGCTAGTTAAAAAAAATGAAATTTTCTTTTATCTACCAAGGAAAGATTCAGTAAATGTTTGAAAATGGAACACAACAACAACAACAACAAACCTACCACAGATCCTTCCTAATTAACCTCCAACGTGGACACCCTGATTTTGTAAAATGCAATAGTTGATAGTAAGGTTTTAAAAGGAAATAGAGAATTTTAATATCTCCCTTTGTACATTTTGGACTAATGTTAGGATTTTCTTGAAATTACTCCTTGACCTAAGACATAAAGGCATTTTAATTTGACTGAAATACATGGTGTATATTGTAAGAAATACTATGACAGTTGTGAATTCTCTGAAACTGTTGGAAGTTATGAATCTGACTGCATATGAGAGGCTCTTAAGCAGGCAGGGTGATAACTCAGGAACACTCAGCTGCAGTGAGCATGTAGGGAGGTATACATACACTTGACCAGTACAGACATTTCAAGGTTTCTATACAATTTGTTGGGTATAAGTAGATATTGAGAAATGAAAAAAAAAAGATTTACTCACTATGTAGGTTACAGAAAATCTTGGAATGTTGTACCTTTGAGATGTAGGGAGTTATGTTATGCAGTTTCAGATGAGAGATCCAAGTAGCCATTAGCAGAGTCTTCGTCCCAGCAGGTATCTGAGGACATGTGTGACTTCACTCCAGTTATTCCATGCCTGTACGTTGTAAAAGCCTTAGTGCAGACTGGATTATCATCCTCACTTTCCAATAGACTTTGGAATGCTCTTTGGGTTCCCCGA